TATTTCTCGAGGCAATTCGTAAGTCCTTGCCTATTCGAGATCGATGCATATTTTCGAGACAGTTCGTAAGTACTCGCTTATTGGAGCTACCCATCTTTCTGAGGCAATCTGTTAGACCTCGCCTAATTGACAGTTTATATTTCAAGTCCGACCCGCACATAAATAATACGACTCGGACTTGGGGGACTACTGTTACGCCTATAAATTACCACTTTATATTGGACCATCTTATTGGACTCGGACAAGGCCCATTAGAATTGGGCCCCAAAGTCGAGGCTCCGATGAGGCCAGTCGAGGCACCACCGAGGCCCTAAGGAGTTCAGCCGAGGCTCTCATCGAAGTGATGGGGCTTAAGTAACAGGAAGGCGACAATGTGGCTCTATGTGCCTGCTTGAAAGTGTAATTCACCTAGAAGGGAAGAACTGACTTGCAATAAAATATAAAAATATTTGATTAATTTTTACACGACTTCAAGACAAATTCGTGTGTTGAAGTTTGAACATGTAGATTACATAGAAGTAGTGGTCTAAAATTAGAACGGGCGACTATTTTCGCCTAGCTTGGTGGCAACTTGGTCACATCAATTGTGTCTGGCCGGGTATGGATACTTGGGCCAGTAAAGTATTCTGTTTAAAGGGTTTTAATTGGTTGGCATAGACAGAGCTGAATATAACTTGGTGACAATGAGCCGTCAACATAATGATCACCCCGATTCAATTTTATCATTTGATCATTAAAAAGAAAATAAATAATCTCTCGTTTGATAGGGATTAAAATCACATTTTTTAGTAAATTTTTTAAAATTAACGAAATATTTGATTGAAAAGTTATGAATTTCATGAAATATATGCTTGAAATTAATTGTTGATTTTGATTTAGATTAAAACCTTTTATCCACACCAAACATGGGCTCATAGTCTGAACCATTCAGTTCTAGGCATAAAATATGTTAGAACCACCTTTGTACAATCAGACTATGTTTCGTTAATTTTCAATATAGTCATGATTGAAACAATTTTTTTTTCTTCAAACATTTTACGTTTTTCAAATTAAATATGTTTTTAGAGTTTAGAATCTATGATTCCTCTTAGAATAAATGAAATATCGAAGACAAAACCTACAAGAAAATTGACTTCCTTGACATTGAACAACAGCTTTTGGACAATTCTCATTTGCAAAGCCAATGAAGTTGATAAAGCAAGTTCATTACGTTACTTTGTTGACTTGCGGTCGGAATTTGCACAAAGTCATGGCTTATCAAGATTTTCTCATCCAATTCCCGTGCCGTTTAAGCAAAGAATATATCAAAATTTCATACAGCTGCCACTGTTAAAGGAATGATGGTATCTGTTAAGTTAGCCCGCGTTTGGCCCATTATTTGGTATTATAATTTCTTAAATAATATTTTTAAAAAAATATGTGGTTAAAAAAGAATGAATTTTTTTATCTATGTATAATATTATTTTAAGAAAAATTTCATGGTTGAAAATAAGATAGAAAAATTATAATATGAAATAATGAGGGCCAAACAAGAGCTTAGCTAAGAAATATAAATACGTGTGAATATTTACCATCCTGTACTCGAGTTTCTTCAACTTCCTGCATCTAAACTTGTCAAATGTTTTTAATACACGTTCTCACAAGAATATAGGCATGTTCACATTAGAAATAATGAGTGCCAGACGGGGGGATTAACTAAGAAAGATAAATACATGTGAATATTTACCATCCTGTAGTCGAGTTTATTCAATTTCCTACATCTAAACCTGTCAAATGTTTTTAATACACGTTCTCGCATGAATATAGGTATGTTCACATTAAAAATAACACATTTGTTACTCGTTACGCCTCTTATGAAGAAGTTTCAGATCATTGCCAACGAAGCAGTTAAGCTGAGCAAATCAATTAAGTTTGCACTCCACGATATCCCACACATCACAATTGTCATTATTACCAAAGTACCATCATTCCTGTTGGAGTGCCGAGGCAAAGTGGTCCATACATATGACCGCTACTCGATCGAGGCGCCGAAGTTATATGTGTCGAGATGACGTGCGCCGAATTTGTATAAAGTGGACAACACCTACTGCGAAGATAATATCATGCTCCTATGATTAGGTAGTTTGATCGTCTCGTCTCTCCAATCAAAAGATCTTCTATACAAATATCTATCTAAAATAAATTTTTTATACAATTGATCGACTTGACGTTTGTGCAATAAGCACCAAAGAATCAAGTTAAGAATCTACTTGTCAAGGGGAATTAAATACCTGCCCACCTGAAGGCTGATTAATTGACATCTAAGAAGAATGCGTTTTGTACAAGAGTAATGCTATTCTTAGTCGCTCACTGCAGTAATCGCCCTACGTGGCATACACATGGCAGGTGATTATTTGATGCATTAATATGATAGTTTTTGTATTTATTAATCCATCAAATAACCACCTGCCATGTGTATGTCACGTAACACAACTACCGCAGTGAGTGACTGCAAATAGCATTATTCTTTGTACAACAAATGAGGCCGCGTGCCCCCTATCAAATGGTTCCAAATATACCTCTTTCCCTATATATACTCACATTTAGTGTCATTTTATAGGTAAGACAACTCTAGTGTCTTGTATTTTGTGTTCCATCATGTTTTCTTTACTGTTAATTGACTTGACCGTTAAGGCACTCGCAATTGCCTCACCCATCACCGAAGAAGGTCACTAGTGACTAACGACGTATTATTGTACATTTGTACGTAGGAGAATATATGCGTGGAGCGTTTATCTATTGGCCACGTCATCCTTACAAAAATCGAGATCAACATTAATTTTTACTTGAGATACAATGTACACATAAATTGTAATACAACTTATTCAATTGCGCATTCATGTTTGGCAGACTTACAAGGTACTTATAAGTTTAACAAAAATGCTCAATATATTCTCCTCGTGAAAGAAGATACGCTTATTTGTTTGAACGTGCTTATAAGAAAATCTGTGTATTTCAATTTTTAAGGGAATTGAATATCCACTTTAAATACATTTGTCAAACAAAAATCGTGGGCCTATGAAATATGGATAGCGAGACCGTAGGTCGAAGGAAATTATGAATAGAGACAAAAAAGTGAAAAAACAACATATCCTCCAAACCAAACGGGGGACCTCTTTGACCTGTCCACTGACCAATTCCCTCTGAACTGGGGCCCGCGTTAAATCATAAAGATCAATTTTTCCACGCACCATTTCAAACCCAAAGTACAAATAACAATAGCGTGGAGTACAGATTTGTTGTAAATAATTAATTATTTATTAAAGTTCTCTTTTGCCTTTTTCCATTTTTTCTTTGTTTGGGAAAGAAGTATAAAAATTTTATTTACAATTGTTATGCGCAATATATTGTGGGTATCAAATGCGTTAGAAAAATGAGTTTTATATATGATATAACTTCAAAAAATGAAGTAATAAAATATATATTGAACCCTTGTTTGAGCCACATTTTAGAAAAAAAGTGTATTTTAAATAGTGTATTAATGGAAAATGTTGAATTAAAAAATAAGGAAAATTTTTGAATTTACATGTAATATTATTTTATTGAAAAATATATGATTAAAATGATGTCAAAATACTATTTATAAATGCGTTTTTTTAAAGAATGGAGCTCAAACAATGACTGAATTTTTTAACGCTTTCTTGAATAATGTTTAAATATTAAATATAGAGAAAGGGTTAAAATTCAATAACATTTAAATCTTTCAATAAATATATATAAACTTGAAAGTATATTTTAATAAAAATGACATGAATTAATTACATGTGTTTGGAAAGTTTTTATAAATAGTTAAAAATTTTAAATAAATAAAAATAAGTGATGAATATTCATAGTACTCGTAATTTCATAAAATGTGTAAATGAAATGTGATATTGGTGTTTATAAATAATTTATAAACATAAACAAAACTATGATACCTAACAAAATAAAATACAAGTCTTATAAAACAGCTACTAGATCAACTATATTTTATAGGAAAACAGTATTCCAAAGATATATCATTCTCTAGATACAATTACAGTAATGCTATATCATATCAGTAGTGTTAGAATATCAATTTCAATGGTCAAACTTGATATATCCAATTTAAAAAATCACGCGACCTTGTTTTCAAATGAATTTATCAATTAATATTTTTTTAATTGACAGTGGATCAGAAAAGAGAGAGATTCTAGTTGAAAGATATCTACTGAAATCGTCATAAATATTTTAATTATTTTAGTGAAAATCGTTCGTATTATTGAAATATTTTTCATTGTAATTACTCTTTTATTTTATTTTATTTTATTTTATTATTTTTTTTTTTTTTGATAACCCAGGTGTCCCAGCTTAGCCGAACTAAATCCTGGACCTCTAGCCCCCGGCCCCTCAGTGACTAGTGGAGGTAAATCGCAGGTTGTGCCCTTGTTGGTTCCCAGGTTCCCACATGGCTTTTACTCCTTCCCCAAAGGGACCCTCCTCCATGATTATTACATCACCAAGCTGCTCCAACCCTTCCTCTGGTTATTAATTACTCTTTTATTTTTATTTATTTAAAGAGGATGCTTAAATCATCACTTTATAGTACTTTAAGTTTCTATTTAGTAGAAATTAAAATCAGTTTTTTAGAAAATTTTGATAAAATTGATTAAATACATACTTGAAAAATGTAAATCTTATAAAATATATGATTAAATTAGGACATGTTTGAGCCACATTATTTAAAAAATACATTCTTAAACAGTAATTTGATATTATTTCAACTACACATTCTTCAATAAAATAATATTACACGTAAATCAATTTTTTTATTTTTAACTATATATTTTTTATCAATACATTATTATCAAAATAATGTGGCTCAAACACCCCTAATTGTTGATCTTGACTAAGTTTTTAATCAAATTATGTAATGAAAATATTATAAAATTAAAGTGGAAGACTATAGTCAGCATTTTCCGCATCATAAAATATTATTTTACACAAAACTCGAGAATACGGCCCCCGTTCTGATCTATGCGTCGTCCGATCTCATTCGCACCTAAATTTGACGGAGGCAGGTTTTAGATTTTAAAGTGACAGGTCAGTCATCTATTATGTATTATTTACTTACTTTATCTCCTTTAACCTCGCATATGGCATCATTTTGACCATTTATCAAACACTTTCCCTGCACATTATTCTCCAGTCAGCCATGGCTGTGGAGCTCATTATGAACCAGACAAACTTTGTTTCAAAATCAGAACAAAACGCTGTGCAAGAAGCTGCTTCTGGCCTTCAGAGTGTTGAGAAGCTTATTAGATTATTTTCATCTCAAAATAAGCATAATCATTCATCCGAAGAAAAGGTAGGCATGGAAATGGAGAGAGAATACGTGGCTGTGACGGATGTGGCAGTAAACAAATTCAGAAAAGCTATTTCTCTTCTGGGTCGAACCAGAACTGGCCATGCTCGTTTTAGAAGAGCCCCTGTTGTTTCCTCTCTTCCTTCTTCTCCATCTTTACCTCCGATTTCGGATCCTCCGTTGAGAGAAGAATCTGTTGACAATAAGATTTACTGTCCAACTCCTATTCAACAAGTCCCAGCTTTAGACTATCCTTATAATCATCACCAAGTTGGGATCCCGATTGTGAAAGAAAATATGAAAGAGTTTGGGTCAAAGACCATTAGTTTTTCTTACTCGCCGGTGATTTCTCGTGCAAACTCGTTTATTTCGTCTTTGACTGGCGATACAGATAGCAAGCAGCTTTCCTCTTCCTCAGCGTTTCCGATTTCCAATCTTTCTTCTGCCGGAAAGCCTCCTCTGTCTTCTTCTTCCTTTAAAAGGCGATGCAGTTCATCAGAAAATGGCCTCTCCGGCAAGTGCAGTTCCTCCTCCTGTCGCTGCCACTGTTCCAAGAGAAGGTAATTAATTAATTACACTCTAACCCATTTCTTTTCTTCACGTTAGAAACGAAGAAACGTCCTTATCTAAGCTTCTTGTGATTCTAACGATTACCATAAACAGAAAGCTAAGGCAGAAAAGGGTGATTAGGGTTCCAGCCATAAGCATGAAGCTATCAGACATCCCACCAGATGATTACTCATGGAGAAAATACGGACAAAAACCCATCAAAGGTTCTCCCCATCCCAGGTAAAAATCAATTAATCAGATTAATTATGAACAAATAGGGTAATTTGTTAAGCATTTAAAAAAGGTGATTAAACTGCTTTCAGGGGTTACTACAAGTGCAGCAGTGTGAGGGGATGTCCAGCGCGTAAACATGTCGAGAGAGCTTTGGACGATCCAAAAATGCTTATAGTGACATATGAAGGCGAGCATAATCATAGCATCTCAGTTGCAGAAACAAGTAGTATGATTTTAGAGTCTTCTTAATTTTTCTGTAATTAGTGCATAATCTAGCATTAGAAACTAATTATCTGCTTTGTTTATGCGTCATCAGTTCAATATCTCGAAGGGGATTTACTGGGTTTAGTTTATTTTCGTGGTAGAAGGAACAATGGATCCTTCTTTCTCTCTCTCTAAATCTATCTATGTGAAATTTACTCAAAAATGTATTTGTGGCGATTAACAATTGATTGCAACGAATTTTAAAATCTCTTCGAGTCTATGAACTATGTGGTAATCAATGGCATGACTGTTTGTCGCACTATAGAAATTGTGTATGATTCTTTGTATTAATTAATTAATTTTCACTTTATCATTTCCTTCTCTTTTCTTATTAAATTGCAAATTTAAATAATAAAATCAAGAAAGAAAACAACTTTGTCAAAAGTCATGATGAAATGGTCAGTGTCGTGTTTTGGACGGTTGACCAAGAAATAAAGGAGAAGTTGGCAGTTGGGACGGCTAATTTACTCGAATTAGATGGGCGTGACCCCTATTTTTATTAATATTATTAAGTTCCCGTTTGAGCCTTATTAATGTAAGAAGGAGAAAAAATATATAATCGTTACGGGTCCTACATAAGAGATATAAAATGAAATATGGTGGTTTAATGTGATGGATAACGATCATATTTTTCATTTTAATGGACAAATAATGAGAAACAAACGGGTTAAATATCATCTAGTCTACTATATGAAAAGAGGAATTTTATATACTCCCATTGAGATTGTAATAGTAGTTTAGGTGATATTAAATAACAGGTTAAATGGAAAGTAAAATTAAATAAATTATTTAATTGTATTTATCAATTAATGCTCAATTAACTTTAAATTGAAGTTTTAATTTTAGTAGGATTAAATAACATTACTCATATAAATATGTCAATTTCAATACCAAAATTGGTTGTTTTGGAATTATCTCTTGGATTGTGGCCAATTAGTTGGAGGACATTCAAGAAATGGTGTGAAAGGACTTGAACCCCACAAGGATGGAAAATTGGAAAATGAAGAAGAAGATTTGCCAAGTCAAAGAATGCAGGTGGGAAAAGGTTCACAGGGGGGCCCACGTGATTATTATTCCAAGTCTAGTTTCTTTGGTTTTGCCTTTGCTAAACGTCAACATGCAGAGTGTACGTGGACTATAGTAGGTCTATTGGTCATCGATAGCTATCATAATTTGACGGGGTTGAGAGGAAGTATAGATTGGACTACCTGTGTGCGATTTACAATATAAAATTTATAAATTAAATATTTATTTCAATCATATATTTAGATCCCATTTTATACACATTAATATAAAAATAAGAATAAAATATAGTCATTACAGACTCCACACAAGAAATAGAATGTCAAATATAATGGCTTGATGTGATGAATAATGATCATATTTTTCATTTTAATGAATAAATAATGATTGTATCTTATATTGTGCACATAATGGACAGATGACATGAGATATGGAAAGTGAAGAAATTCGGTTATTATAATTTTTTTCTCTCTTTTTCATGTCATATAATTATTATTTATCACAAGACTCACTATGATTTTTTTACTATTTTTATTTATAAGCCATTTATAAATGTATAGTTATCATAAATTATCATCAAATTTACGTGGAATACGATACATACCCATCTAATATAAGCTATTACCTTCTTTTTCCCGCGTTCCACCTGCCCCAATTTTCTAGACATTTGCACAACGGTCTCCTACCCCCCCCCCCCCCCCCCCCCCCCCCCCCGCCCTTTTTTTTTAAATTTTAGATGAGCTCGTTTGGAACTCCTTTCAACTGCAGAAGGTGAAAAATAATTATCATTTCGTGGTCAGTCAGGTTGGGTCATCTGATGTACTATGTTAAGCTTCATAGGTGATGAGTGGGTAATCACCATTTTTCGAGCTAAGAATTCGGGGTTCAAGGAAGTTTTGTGCAGTATACACTGTAAAAGACGTGCTAATACAATGTCGTGTAATTGCTAACGTAGATTTAGGGTTTTGAGGTAGTGGTGGCAGTCGACCCAAGTAGCTTGTCAGCTCGTCGACTCAACTTGAAAAAGCTTGGCCCATGAACAGCTCAAACTCGTTTTGGGATGAATCAAAGCTTATCGAAACAAGCATGAGCCAGGGGTACTAGCCAGCCAATTTGGCAAGCTTGGCTCCTAAACAAGCCCATGAGCCAAGCTCGTTTAAGCTATCCACAAGCAAGGCTCGTGGCTTGCCTTTAAAAAAGGGTCACAAACTTTGACAACGATCTTTGAATTTTTTTATTTTTACTTTTGCTTTTATAAATACCTCAAAACTTCGCCATTTTATTCACAACAAATTCAATAGTCTCTACTCTCTCTACATTGTACAATAATTCCTTCATTATTCAATTATTTCACAATTCTTCTACTCTTTACAATTATATTACATACATACACATACCTTCATTCTCTACACTATCCAATTTATACTCATCTTTATTCTCTATATTACAATTTACATTCTATATTTTATTACATAATATAATTGGATCCTTGTGATTTCGTTGAGGGCTTGTTTGGTGACCAATTACATATGAGGCCATAATCTCAAATTTTCAATGAATTTGTCGGTCTCAATGATGTCCCAATCCCTGAGAATTTGTTGGGAATGGACGTTGACGATGCACATGGAAGTACTAATTCAATTGATTTGGATGACATAGATGAAGATGTCGACAAAGCCAATTTACAAATTCTCGATACAAGAGAGAAGCAAAAGGGTAAAAAAATAATTTGCAAGTGTTGGAAAAACTTTAAATTGATTTCAGGACAAAATTGCAAAATGTCAAGTAGTGTGTAAATATTGTCAAACGCGATTAACACGATGAAATGGTATTGATACTACCACCTCAACCATCATTATGCCAAATGTACCATCAAACATTGACCTGTTTGTCAATCTCAATCACAACTAGCCTTTGGTACTCTTTCTTCTTATAGTGGTTCTTCAACACTAAGTACATGGATAAACTTGGAGGAAAGAACTCGTGAAGGAATGGTGAAGTTCATTGCCAGTATGGAGTTGCCATTGAGCATAGTGGAAATGAATATTTTACAACGTTTGTGAAGAAATATCTTCAATCAAGGTACAAAGGGATGAGTAAAAACACTTTTCGTAGTGATACCTTTGATTATTATTATTATTATTAGAACTAAGAATCAATTGATTAATGATTTAAATAAATATGGTGGTATTACATCGTTGACTTAAAATTTATTGGAAGGTACTAATAAAAAAAAGATTATATAGCAATAATTGTATACTATATAGATCCATTTTGGGTTATGCATAAATTTTTTGCCTTTCAGATAAATGAATATCCTTGTAATGCTAATAATATTTTTTATCCTATCCTGCAAATTATTAGGGAATATAAATGCAAATGTAAATTTTGATATTTTACATTTGATAATGCTAGTGTTAACAAAACTATAATCGATAAACTTTCTAGAATACTTAATCCTGGTATTGGTGGTTTTTTGTTTCATGTTTGATGTGTTTGTTATATTTTTTAATTTAATTAGCAAGATGGTTTGATATTAAGAATCAAATTGATAGAATTTGGAATGCGTTAATCTATATAACCATATCATGAAGCAGGAAACAACCATTTGAGGAACTTTGTTTACAAGTTGGCCAAGATTCCAAAAAATTTAGGGATACCTGCAGGCTGCAGCTGAGGCTGCAAAATTTTTAGACAATAATAAACTTTCCCCAAACCTTTGATTTGTTGAAATCGTCACCTTTAACATTTTTAAACATTGCAAGTGAAGCCTCAATAGGTGGAAAACATTCAATTTATCGTTAGCTAACCAAAAAAATTAAATTTGATCACATTTTTATAAGGGCATAATAGTGTTCTATTTACCAAATTAAAAATTTAAATTAAAAAATAAAATAAAAGAAATCTGTATCTATTTCCCCATCACCCACTACAAATGCATAGACTATAAAATCGACCATGCCACCGCCCACAATGTCGTCGCCCTGCAATAGCCTCCCAACCACCATCACTATTCAAGCCAATTGCCACAGCCATCACTATCTTCTACCATTCTTTTGTGATTTTCTTTAAAATGCTCATAAAAACAATGCCAAGCCTCCTTTTACCAATGGAATTAGAATAACAGAAATTGTAGGTCGCATTCTTGAGCTCTTTGTAACTGAATCTTTGAAGATTGTTTAAAGGTGTGCTGGAATCAAATAGGCTGGTGAGTAACTTATGAACCAATGAGTACCACAGGTAATAAATAAAATAAAAATTGCAGAGAGAGAGAGAGAGAGAGATTGTAATAAAAAGAAGCAGAATCTGTGTTTGGAAGCAAACTTATGCTTATTTTGGGGGCTGGATTTGATAAAAAATAGTTGTCTTGAAAGCATTTTGCTCGTGGGTTGTGAAAATTTTGCTTTGATCCAAGAGAAATGGAGGGAGAAAAATTAGGAAAGAGCTATAGAAGTTTTGGGCATACCCTAATCATTTGTTTTACAAGACTTTATTTTTGGATTCGGATGAGTTGTTACTCACTCGAGCAGTGCAGGCTGAGTTGCAGGTGCGAGATGGGATGCGGCAACCGTGTGACTCAAGGAGGGATATCGGATTCAATTTGAGAATTCATTTTGCAAAACTAATTTTCGAAAATTCGATTTGAAAATATATATACTTGAAGAAGACTAATTTATAGTGTTGGGTGACTGGAAGGTAAATAGCGAATAGAGAGGTGGCGACAATGGCGATGGTGGTTATTTTGGTTAGGACGAGCGTGGGGAGGTTAGGGAAGGGGTGGGAGGAAAAAGATACAGTTTTTCCCCTTTTTAATTTAATTAATGTAATTATTCAATTTGATCAGTTTTTTGGTCAACTAACAGTAAATTAAAATTAGATGTTTT